GATCTGTTGTCTGATGGGAAGGGTCCTTCAGTTCAACAAGAATTTCTAAAACACCTACTATGTGCCAGGCACTGGGATAGCAAGATAAGAGAACAGTCCTGCCCTTGTGGACTTGACGTTCCACTGGTTTGGGAAGACAGCCAAGTAGTCAACAAACATTTATAAAACACCTACTATGTGCCAGGCATTGTACTAAGTGCTGAGGATGAAAGAAAGACAAAAACCCATTTTGTGCCTTCAAGGAGCTCACTTTTTATTGGGAGGGACAACATACAAATAACATATAAGTTCTATACAGTGTGAATGGGAGGTCATCTCAGGCTTGCTCGTGGACCATGGTCCCATTTTATCTTTCGACCTCATGTGCACTTCTTGAAAACCCCTCTGTCACCAGGCAGGGCTGGTGCAGTGGAGAGAGGGGTGCTAGGTTTGGGGTCAGGATCTGGGTGTGAATGTGGATTTCTTATTGCTCAGGTGGCTTTGGGGAAATATCTAACTTCCCTGGACCTTACCTTCCTACAAAATTCGTGGCTTGGGGCAGATGGTCTCTTGGAAGAATCTTCAAGCCACAGCATTCTATGATCCCACAAAATACCAGGGAATTAGAGGTACCTGATGAGAGGAGAGGTAGCTAAGGAGGGAAATGTCACACCTGGCCTTGGCATCAAGGAGACTAGACCAACTCAACTCCTTTAGAAAAGAAGACACATGACTTCCTCCCTGTCTTTCCAGCCACGCAGATTCAAGGCCATTCTCGCCACCTACGAGGTGAATCTGCTCTCTGGTAGGGAGCCGTTCCATACGGGGGTTCAGTTCCTTGGAGGGTGGGGGAGAGGAGGAATCTAGAAGCTTGCCCCACCTTGGTCCTTGGATGGCAGAACCTGCTACGTGTTCCCCTAACATCACCTGGGAACCCAGACCGCCTCAGTGTCAAGATAAGGTATCTGAGGCAGGAGGACAAGAAAAAATGGACTGAAATTCTAGAAGGAGGGATTGCAGTTGGATATTACCAAGAACTTCGGAGGTAAGGAGACAGGGCATATAGACTTGCTTTTCTAGGGATTAAAAAAAAAAGGGGGGGGAGCTACCTCTGGTGGCTAGTGAGAGCTGCCTTCTGGAGGTAGGACCAATCTAAGCTCCCCTCCCCCCTTTAAAAGACCTTGCCTTCCCTTCCCCTCTTCTACCCCATGGAGTGGGCTCAGTCTGCCTCCAGCCCATCCCTATTTCCTGTTTTTCCTTCCTTTGATGAGGACTGACCTCTGCCCTGGGAGGCCCAAGCCTGCCTGCCAGCACCTTGCCGAGAGCACTTTTCAGGGCTGGCAAAGGGAAAAGGGGGCAGGGGTGTCAGGGAGGGAACTTGGCAGTGAGCCCTTATAACTGGCCAAGGAAAAGGGACAGCTTGAGAAGCAGCTGGTCTGGCTGCCCTTCAACCAGACAAGGGAGAGCCATATGCTGGGCAGGAAGTTGTCTCAGCCTCATTAGAAATGGGGCTTAGCAAGGGCAGGGCCTCAACTATTTGCTTAAGCAAGGAAGTGATGCAGTCCCAATTGAGTCTGGCTGGGAAGGTAGTTTGTAAAGCCACCGAACATGAGGGCTGGAAGGGCTCCTAGGAGACCAAGCCCCTCCTTTTGCAGAGGAAAGTTAGGGCCAGGGAAGGAAGCAGCTTGCCCGGTCACCCAGGCACTGGGACACGCATGCTGCCAGGCCAACATGAGAACCCAGGTTTCTTGACTTAGGCTGGGGCCTTTCTAACTTGCTGCAGTGGAACAGGAGACCTGCTTCATGAGTCCTTAAAACTGACCACCGGCTGATAAAGGCTTTGAATCCACTGGCTTTGGAAGGCTTTCGTGTGCATGTATTCACACTATTGTCTCCCTTCTGGCCTGCTCAGCCTTAGCAAACTCCTTTGATCCTGGTAGGTACGAACCAGGTAATAAGGGAAAGCACTTGACAACCTTGGAGTAATGTCAAGGTTGGCTGTTATGATAAGGTCTTCAAGTCTGAAAGCTAGAAGGGACCTTGCTGAGTTCAGTGCCTTTATTTTATAACCAAAGAGAGCAGGAGCTCAGAACTGAAATGCCCCCGGGGAGAGACCAAACCTTGAAACATTCATATCTATGGGGAAATGGGACTTTGAGCAACCTTCCCAACTCCCTCCGGAAGAAAAAAAAGACCAGGAAAAACTCGCTAATATGTGTGGCTAACATACTGAATAGGTTATTAAAACTTGCCAAAAGAGGCCAGACCTCGGTCCACCCACTTCTGACACATACCTGGGCAAGTCACCTAACTCCTTGGGGCCAGACAACTCTGAGGCTAAATTGCACAACAGCTGGTGTGTATCAGAAGGAAGTTCCATCCTGTCTGATCGTCAACGCTTAGCACTTACCTCACCCGTTCTATTCTAAGACTGCAAAGCCCTAATCTGCTTTGCCACCTAGCTGTCCCCAGTTTACTAGGGCCCGAGGGGCAGCAAGGAATGGGGGGTGTCACCGGAAGTATTCGAGCAGAGGCTTCACACAGCAGATTCTCACTCTCAGTAATAATGAACTCGAATGTTTCTTCTGGTCCTGGGATACGTGTCAAGTCCATTTACTGCTAATTGCTGCCTGATTCTGGAGGGAAGGGTTAAGCAGCTAGGTGGCGCCATGGTGGATGGAGCCCCAGGCCTGGAGTTGGGAATACTTGTCCTGAGTTCAAATCCAGCCTCAGACACTTTAACTAGCTGTGTGACCCTGGGCAAGTCACTTCACATGGTTTGCCTTAGTTTCCTCATCTGTAAATGGGCTGGAAAAGGGAATGGCAAACCACTGCAATATCTTTGCCAAGAAAACCCTTAAAGGGATCACAAAGAGTCAGACATGGCTGAAATCACTGAACAAGGACAAAAGGAGCTGAGCTGTTTTCTCCAGGATCTCCTCCACACCCAGTGACCATGGGCTGTGATGGATAAACCACTCATAATAATAGATTAAAGCCAGAGAAAATGAACCAGAGCTGCCTCTGGCTCTTCTGGTCACATGACTGTCCTGTACAAACTCTGCCCCCATACAAAAGGCCTGCACAGAGACCAGGGATGCCTCTCCCCCCACCCCGCCTGGCTCACTGAGTGGTTTCTTAGGGCAGGGAAGAAGAACAGAAACAGACCCTCCTGTTCACACTAGGAAAGAGCTTCGTACACTAAGCGATGGTGTATTTTCAGGGTGTTTACAAACTTCATGAATCCTGTTACTTCTACAAGGTCAATCAGCTTTGCTCACTTCTAGCGAGGTTGGGCTTGGGTGTATTAACCACACATGGCTTTTGTCCTTATTAGAGGGGATTTTAAAGCTGCTCAATTTCTGAGTACAGCTGACTTTGAAAAACGTTTTCATTAGTTGGGAGGACAAACAGATTTGTAAGAAAAGGTTTGGCAATCCTAAAGGATGCTTTCCTAGGAAAGGGGCTCCATCAACCTAGAATATCAATGACAAAAAAAAAAAAACACCTGGCATAATGTAAAGAAGCCTGGACTATCAATGTCATGTAATCTATTAGCGGTGTGACCTTCTGTAAAACTGAGACATCACCTGCTCTACCCATCTCATAAGGTTACTATTTTGAATCAACAAAATGACAGGTGTGAAAACTGTAACGGGGCAGCTAGGTGGCGCAGGAGAGCACTGGCCCTGGAGTCAGGAGGACCTGAGTTCAAATCCAGCTTTAGATACTTGACACTTATTAGCTGTGTGACCCTGGGCATGTCATTTAACTCCTACTGCCTCACAAAAAAAATGAAACACTGTAATAATAGAACATCAGACACATATAAAAGGATTTATAATAAAACGCAGGATTTGGTGGTTGTCAAGGGAAAGTATGAGAAGAGGCCATTTCCAGAAATATCTATTTAAAAATAAATGGCATCAAAACTTACTTAAAAAAAAAAATTAACAGCAATAATGGAAGGCAATCTACCATAAGGAGTCACACAATTGAAACTGGAGAAAATACCTCTCGAGTTCTCACTCATTACACTACACTCTTACTAGGAAGGCAGTGGACGTAATCCTAGGCAATTCATAACTTTTACAGTCCTCGGGATCGTTCGCCAGCTTTCTGGCCTTGGGCTACCTCAGTTTCAGTTTCGTTTAGGGGCCTCAGTTTCGTTTCCTGTTAGTAAATGGGGACTGTACTACCTGCTGAATCGACTTTAACAAAGGCGTAAGGATCCCATGAGATAGTAATAGCAGCAAAGCGTCCTTGAAAAGCAGAAAAGGGCAATACAAATCTGGAGAAGTCTTCTTAACTGTACCCAGAAAGCAGCCTTTTCTGGGCAGGGACAGGCAGCAGGCTGAACACAAGGGAACCCTCAGTGAGCCCTCACAATGAAGTCACGGCAGCTGGTTGACAAGTGGACATGGCAGGGCTTTGAGTGCAGCCTTTTCTGTGATAGGTCAGTAAATGCCCTTCTAGAAATGAGTCCAGCTCCTAGCCAACAAGGCACAAAAGCAACTGACCCATCTGTCCTGACCATGCACTGGTGGACCCCAAAAGTAAAGCAGCATGGCTAGGCCACTCAAGTTCTATTGTTTATTGGAAGTAACCAGAGGTCATGGTATCCACAAAGGTTCCCCTGCTCAGATTAAGCCTGTCAGAGCTGCCCCAGGCCTGATGCCCCAGGCTGGGGTTTGGGATCAAGGCAGCAGATTTACAGACACCTGTTTTTTGGCGATCCTCCCCAGCACCATCTCTGAGAAGCCACCATCAACATTCCTGGGGCACTAAGAGGAAGGAGGCTACTGGTGCCTTTTTTCAACGGCAGTTTGTAGGAAGTGCTTGGTTACTTGGGGGCACAGAGCAGGAGCTAACAACCAAACGTTAGCCCCAGCCGGGAAGAGGCGGCCTCCACACAAAGCTAAGCTGTTTTGATCACCCAGTTTCTTCCAGAACTTTGATCCCTGGAATTCTAGAATGGAACATTTTGTAAGTATTCCCCAGGCAAACCAAGGACAAGGTAATTATTAATAATCATTTCTTTTATTAAAGTTTCCTACAGACCTACACTCACAGTTCCAAACATGGCCCCCGGAAGGAGAGGACAAAGCCAGCCTCTTTGTGCCATTTTCACAATCTCAAAAAGAAAACACAAAGGTAAATACTTTTGGCTGCTGACTCAACTGCTGTGGGAGCCAGATTTCCTTGAAGAGTGGAGCACAGCTAAAGAGGTATAACAAAAACAATGGCATTTCAAGCCATGGAGATTAACTGGCGAGTCCACTTGACTGACGTGGCACCTAGCATCCTATTACAATTGATTTTCTTTTAAAATGGTCGACCATACATACAGTGGAGTTCAAGTACAGAATCACAACTGTTTACAGGAATGAATACAAAGGTTGGCACGAGCTGCCAGCAGTCGGACAGAGAGGAACCCCATTTCAGCTCTACCTTTCTCCAAGTTCCAAGCACCTTTGGAGCCTCTTTGGAAGTTGACCGTCGACACCCTGGAAGACGCTGCTGACCTGTGCCGCCGGGGGCCCTGCCTACTGTTTCAGAGGCCCTTTTGGTAACAGCTATGCAGTGTCCCTGGCCACAGCCACAACACTGAGGCTGAAGGCTCAACCAGATGGTATGATACAGAGTTCACTATCAGAGGGGAGCATATGTCAGTGTGGCCTCATCTAGCCATCCCCATCATCTGTAGTCCTTCCCGCAAACCAATTTGAAATGTTTTCCATCGTCCCTCCCCCCGCCCCCACACACACTATGTTCCCTGCAGCACCATGTTCAGAACCTATCCCCATCTGCACATCACATGGAGTGCAGAGAATAATGCTAAAGACATTTCAGGCTCAACGGGACAGGGTTTTTCTTCTGTTTTTGCAGACAGATGAACATCAGCGCCATCATAAGAAAAAGCCTTTCCCTGAAAGGAGAGCCACAGACTCTAGAGGATGCCCCCAAGTCAGACTAGGGCAAAGTCCTCCATAGCAGCCTATTCCCAAGCCCTTGGAGTCAAAAAGGAGGCTATGGCCATCAGGTGATTGGAAAGGCTACCATGAGTCACAAGTCCAGTCACCAACAGCGATCCTAAGGCACGGCACACACGTGCAACAATGCGTTGCTTGCAAGAGAGGAATTTGCATTTTATCTGCACGATAAGTATTCTAAATTTTTGAGTTTCCCTGAATGGTGCTGTGAGCATCAAACTTTTTTTTTTTGTAGAAAACAGGAAAATTTCACAAGTTGTAAAAATATTTTTGGAGGGTTTCTTATTGGAAATTATTGGGGGTGAGCTCTTTGGGGGTGGGTATGGGAAGGAGAGGGATGAAGAGGAAATATCAGGTATAGAATCCTTAACACAAAAACCTAGGTCCCATACCTCTCTCCAGTTCTCTCCACAGGGCCTGGATTTCTGAGGCTCTGAAGGTATAGACAGCATTTAGGCAAGTGCAAACTTTGCTTTGCAGCTTCTAAGCATCTTAAAAGCAGCAAGGTTTGGGGGTGGGGTGGGGGGGGTGGGAGGTGGAGGGTGCTAGTAATGATCTTCCTCCAAAAGCAGATTCTATGTAGAAAGTAAATACACCAAATTAAGACCTGCTGTGCCCATCTAGGATTTTAAAAGCAGCAGAGAACCCCAATGCTGCTTTGCCCCTAAGCTAAGACAGTTACCGTCCAATACTGGCCTGATCAATGTGGAATTGGCTTTTGAAAATCAACCTAGAACTAAACATGCTGAAATGAACTGCAATGGGAACACAATTCTTGATGTGGCTGGAACAACAGCAGGTAGCTAAGTTTTTCTTCTAACCCAAATTTCTCAGCTATCAGCACTAGAACATTAAGAGATCTCACCAAGAGCTGCAAACAAACCCAGAGTAGGTCAGCTTCTTTCTCCAGCCCAGCTTATAAAACCTGCTGGGTTTACACAAATCAAGTGGCATCACACTACCTACCAAAGAAACTATGATTCTAAAAACACAACATGTTCTTGCCCCACAAGACACGGAGCCCCCTGACGAGACAGTCTGACCTTTTTCTCCTCCCATGCGTGCAGAGCCCAGAAGGCTCCCCACGGACTGGGGAAAGAGTAATACAAACTCCACGCACTGACTCAGGGATGGAGATGCAGCCGCAGACTCACTGAAGGATGAAGCCAGGATGTGGAGGCAGCCTGGGAGGAGGTCTCTGAGGGAGGGCCGGGGGGTATGGTGATGCAAACTGAGCAGGGTATCCTGGCTGGGGGTTGTGACTGAGAGAAGGAAGGCCCACCCTGGGGGGAAGAGGAGGGCACTGCAATCCCGGGTAAGGAAAGGCCTGTCCTGATCCCACGGCCGCTGTAAATGGAGTCGCAAACCGTCCGGCAGGGACTGGGGGTGGTGGTGGAGGGATACGCCGGGGCACAACTGAAGGGGGCACACTGGCATCTGAAGCTGGGTAGGGCACCATGGGAGCTGGTGTTGAATCTGGCACCCTAGGCTGCAGCTGGACTTGGGCCTTTGGAAGTCTCTGGCCCTTGAGCACCATTTCCTGAAGTTTCTCAATTTTCACTCGACGTAAATGGGCTAGTTTCCGTTTATTTTGATATTCGTCGATGAATGAATCTAGCGGGACTTCTCCGCCAAGGAACTTCTCCGCCATGTTCTGAAATGATGAGCAAATACCGAGTTAGAGGGTCTGGAACCCAAACCGAAGCCACAATTCTGTACCAGAGGGCCCTTCGGGGCTCCCTGGCTCCCACATGAACAGCCGAGATGGAGGGAGAGAAACCGCCACCTCCGTGTCAGTTGGGTTACTCCTGATTCGGTCCCCCTCTACTTCTGTTGAGTCTTTCCTGAAAGACGAGTGCAAGGACAGCAATGTGTCTGTGTCCCTTAGTCCCTAAAAAGACCATTTAGCGAGGCTCTCCCTCCGATCATGCTGTGCAGCCAGTCACCTGCCAGGCTCTGGCCTCTTTGTGACGCAGAGCTTCAAGGCTAAGCTAGTGGCCCGAGTGACACTCCTCAGCTCAACTGAGGCCTGAGCAAACACCACTCCGGCTCACGGCCCTACACATTCTTTGATAGTTCCTGTACAGGCCTTCTCTTGTCTGTTCTCTCACATTTGTCATGGCAGCTGGCTAAAGAAACAGCCAATCATGGTCAGGAAGCCCGCCAGCTGTGCTCTGCTCCGTGGCACCTGCACCCAGGCCACACTGTGCTCCTGACCATCTGCAGACATGCCATGACCAAGTTTCATCAGCCTAAACATCCCCTGGCACTCCACCTGCTACACACTGCAGCTCTCCAACATCTCCCAGGTATATCTTATACAAAGCCCACGTAACAGACAGAATTACAAGTTTATAATTTACTGGCCCTGACTTCACAGGAAGGGACTTGTTTGTGCTACCGTGGAGACCTTCCCCAGTGCTGTAGCCTAAAAGTAGGAAATACTGGGACGTTCAATTCAACATAGATTAAGCACCTACTGTATGCAAGGGTATAAAGCCCTGTGCTGAGTGACGGAGATGGAAAGACAAGAGTCCCTGGCAGCGTGCCAGTTCACCTTACCTCTGTATCTTCTTCAATCTTAGCTCCCTCTGTTTGAAGAAGGGCTAGCAATGTCTCCAGAGAAGCATTGCTGGACTGCTGATCTGTAAAATGCAAGAGAAAGGAAAGTGAGGCACCCAGACATTTCTCCTTCTTGGAAGGGGCACACACCTGGCAAACACACCACCTTTGAAACTTATCTTTTGCAAGGTGCTACGAATGAGTGTGTTTTAATTGGGGAAGCCAAAAGGAGTGACATCTTCCTGCTGATAACTGGTTATTGTCCTGGGAAACAATGCTTCCCACTGCTCCTGAAGAGAAGCAAGTACCGTACCAGGAAATGTCCCGCTGGGGGAGCTCTGGGGATGGCGTGGGGACACCCAGGAGCCATATACTACTTGTGCTAATATACCATGGCCATAACAATAGGGCTAACAGGGTTTTAAAGAAAATGGCCAGATTCAATTTCTGAGTACTATTAAAGTACTCAATATTTACATCAAATCATTTCCTGAATTTTTTTCATATGTAAAATATGAAATTTAGCATTACAACAAAATGTTCTAAGCAGAGAGGTTTGGGAAAAAGGAAAAGTGAATAGCGATATTATTTTTCCATATTTACGGCAATAGTTATATTTTACAATAATATCGGGGGATTATATTCATTACATGGGAGGAGGAATACGGCAGCAAGCCAATTCTGTTCCTCCAATTCTATTTCCAGAAGACTGCCATGCTCTTCTGTAGTCTAAAGAAGGTTATGGTGTTAAGATAATGAAATAAAATCTGTTTGCAATAGACAGCAAAATTCTAAAACTAAACAACTTGTCACTGCCACTGAATGACCATTCTAGCAATCTAAACTTTGTCATGGATCACAATCTACCTGAAAAATGTCCTTTCATGCCTTTTAATCTTAAAAACACCACCCCAAGAAAGTTACCTAATTTGGTTTTCTTGATCTGATAGGCTTCAAAGAGAACCTGTAGTTCCTGGTATTTTTGAGTCAAACTGGCTTTCAAAGTGTCCAGTTGTGGTTGGTACAAAAGATTTCCTTCTGCCAGGCTCCGGTTGTTGGCAAGAGTCATCTCTTTGTTAAGCTGAACGTTCTGTGTCTGCACATAGGAGAACCAAAAGCATACTATTACAGTTCATCAGCAAGTCCCAAAAGACCTCTCAAAAGGCCTCTCACTCCACATACACCCATCCATCTGTTGGCAAGCATTTTTACTTTGGCATTGTCTATAAGGGAGGCAGGTTTCAGTTCATACATGGTCCCACTGGTTTATATGTAGTCCTAGGATCAACTCTACTACTACACTCCACCCCTGCCCCCAAATCTTTCAAAGAGAGAGACAAGTAGCCTTTTTCACACCATCTTTTCAGGGTACTGTTTGACCTATTACTCTGTTATGTCTTTAAACATTTACAGAGAGCCTTGAATTCCTCAATACTGCCACCGGTCTTTCCAGAAGATCACAGCTCTATGGGTTTAAGACTAGATTTTTAAAAAAAAGATTTAAGAATCAATTCTTTCGGGGGCTCAGACAGTAATTTGGGATAGAAAGACAGGTACAGTGACAACTCAGCCTTAATAATCAGATTTAGAGATCAGAGGAAAAAATGTAAGAGCTTAGGATTTCATGAAGTCTGAAGTGACATTGATTCTCTTATCTTCAGAAAGGGGGGTGAGGTGGGAGTTGATGCCTTCTTCAGACCCAGTTCTTTAAAGCTGTTATAGTCTAGTAAAAGATGACACAAAGTTGGAAAGGCTCATTATTCTGCTTTGGATCATCAGCCAACACCCTGCTTTCTGTAGTCCCATATTTTTCCTCCCAATAGATGGGAAATTACTAATTAAGACTTTTAAAAACCTGTTTTCTTAAATCTTAATACAGGCAGCTGGGAAGAAGGAAAGAAATCAGTCAAAAAACATTTATCAAATGTCTACTATGTGCCTGGCTCTGTGTTAAGAACCAGAAGAATAAAGAAAAATTCGCCAACCCTCCAAGTGTAGCCAAAGTCAAAACTTCCTACCCACTCAAATATTTTGAGGGAAGTAGCAAAGTGAAGACTATCTTAAAAACAACAATAAGCATCTATGTTTACTTCCAGCTCTCCTTTTCTCTTTCCTAGGATCTCTTTTATATATCACAACCTGCCCAGTGACCTCTCTCTCTCTCTCTCTCTAGCTTTTTCATTTCCTCAGGACAAAATTCCTTACCAGTTATCTGTCAGAGTTCTGTCCACAGCCTCTTGTCCAACCCAACCTAGACCTCTACTCTGCTCCTTAATATTTCTTGCCCCCCTCCACCCCCCTCCTAGTGTCTGATCTATTTTAACAGCTATTAGCTTCCTCTTGGATGAATTTAGTGTATATTGCTTGACTACAGCCTGTTCATATTCATTTATAATGAATGTATATTCAGATGAATGTACCCATAAAGGAACAAAGACAAAAGCTTCTCCCAAGTTTTCTCCTAGACACACACCCAAGACACATAAAATAACCACATTAGGAGCTCAACTTTCCATACACATTAATACTACCATGCAAATTAGCTGAGCCCCAGGCAGAGCTACAAAGAAATTAGGCCCAGCATAAAATCAATCCAGTCAAATTAAAAATAAGACTAGTTGCCATGGTACTGTCAAAAAGCAGTGAATATTCCAAATTCAGGGCAGCTAGAAGAATAATCTACCTTCCCTGCTATTTTCAATGATTAACTCAGACCAATCTGTACTCAGGGAGAAGTGAGACGAAGAAAAACAGAAGGATCAGAGCATTAAAGACCAGTTCTAAAAACAGTGATCTTTAATACATAGCAATTTATTTTCAGGACACCTTACCTCTACAAGTATGACTGAATTCATAAAAATAAAAGAGGCAGAGTAGTCATTCTGTAAAGAAATGTGCCTAACTGAATTTATTCACCCATAAGATTGTTCCCTTTCAAAACTCGGTTTATGAGATTTTTTAATTTTCCAAGGAACTAAAATACCTCATAGATAAAAGCTGGACTATTTACTGGAAATTAATCAAAGGAAATTCCCTTTGACTATGTATTATAGGCTCAGAAGTACCTTTCCCCTCAGCGTAGCCCACCAAACCTGAGAGTAATTTCAATAATTCAAGGTAGGACAAGGCAAACAGTCTAGAATTAACTGTATAATCCAACATCTAAAATCTTGCTCTACCAAAATTATTACTTATTTCACTTGGTATCCCAAGATTCCTAGATAAAACTTTCCTAAGCAAGGAGTTTCAGAGAGCAAGGATTTTTTAAATTGTAGGTATCAGAGCTTCCAGTGGAAAAAAGGCATTTTAAAATAGTTTTGAAGGGTAAACCATTCAACCTACTTAATTCTCTAACTGGAATGGTTCCCACACCATCCTATTTCCTTTCATCTCGAAGCTTAAAAGTACAAGGGACATACACAAATAATCAAAAACTCAAAAGTGGGAAAGTAAACTATCTCCCAAAGAAACCATCAAAAAAATTTCAATCTTCAAACGAGCCAGCATTAAAATGAGACTAAAGGGCAACGGTAAGAAAGCCTAAATGACCAATAGCACAGTTCAATAGACCTCTGGCTTTTACAGCCTTGGCATATCATAGAGACTTCTAAAGACAAGGAAACTCATATTCAGAAGAGGCTAAGAACAATCAGGAATGCAAGCCTACCAAATTACCAAAAGCAAAAAAAAAGCCAATAAGATGGGAAAGCTGTCCACAATCAGCCCTACCACTTATGCCTTTTTGGATTGACTCAAAATTTAAATGTACAGACCTTATCTAGAAGTATACCTGGGAATACTTGTAGAAAGCACACTACATTTCAGACAAAATTCACAAAAGCATCATTACCTCAAGACACCAAGAATAGTTACAGAGTAGTCTTTCAAAAAGCAGGTCCTCCATGACCTCAAATCAAACAATGCATATAAAGCGACCGGCAACTTTTAAGATACTCTATCAATAATAATAATTATTATTAATAATAACACACTGTATATATAGCCTACCAGTTCCTGAGACCTGATTAACAGATGTCCCCAGCAGAGATCTGGAATGTTTTTAATGGTATTTACAAAAGGCATGCATTATACTGGGAGCACAAAGTAGTGGCGACCAGAAGGAGGCTGAGATAGCAAAGTATCTCTTAATCATCAAATGGCAGCTATACATGATAACCTTGGGAAGAACGTCTGGAAACAATAATGGTCAGAGTTCTGCCATGATCTATACTCTTGTGGAATGTCTTCCAAACCAGACACATATTACAAGGTGAAATTTGAAGACCCAAGCTGTCCCCAGTCTGGCACTTCCATCTACACTTATAATCTTGCATCTATAAACACTGTGGTAGAAAATCTATCATCATTTCCATGCTACTTTTTCCAGAAAAATGCATTCTGAACTACTTACCCAAGCACACAGAGATCTCTCCCTCTTTATCCAATAATATAAACCTTACTATTCACTTACTACATAGAAAGACCTATTAGTGACAGAAAAAGCACTCCATTCACCCACTCATCTTACCAGACAGTCATGAGTTGTTGTGGCCAAAAGAATTAATCACACGGTGGCCAGCACTCCAGTGAGGCCCTCCACATTTTACTCCTCAGAAAACAGACCCAGTTTCCAGATCCACACTCCAAACTTTTCCAGGATCTTCCAAGCTCTTGTACTCCAATGCAAAGCTTTACAGAACGCAAGGTCACCCTAACAGGGAAATGACTAGAATTTTTGCAAAGGTAACAACTGAAATATATAACGTGATTGTTAGGAATCTACACAAGAATGGAGTAAGGCATGCAAAGCAGGCATCTCATCTGACCCTCACAGCAGCCCTAAAAGAGAAGCACTCATCATTCTATTTTGCAGACGAGTTGACTGAGAAGATCAGCGAGGTGAAATGACTTAGCAACAGCGGCCACTCATCTAGCAGGTGTCAGATGCCTCTTCTAAACCTAGGCTTTGTCAGAGTACAGCTTTCCTTTGCCACATCCTTCCTTTGCACTATACCACACACAGCCTCTTAAAGAAGCAGAATTCTAGTGCCTAAGAGAAACTAACTAGAGCATTCTTCAAAAACTCAAAAGAGAACACAGATGGAATCCGTTCTAGGCAATGAGAGACGACGGAGGGGGAGAGAGGGAGGGGGGGAGAGGAGAGAGAAAGAGAGAGAGGGAGCAAGAATGAAAGCACATGTTGAGTGTTACTCTTGACAGAGGACTAAACTTTAGAAAGCATTAGTCATCAGAATGATGTTTGTATTTAAACAAAGAAACAGCACAACAGTTGCCTCACTCGTTCTGTTCAATTTTAAAGTTACTCATTTTGAGTTTTCTACCTACTAAGACAAAAGACTGGTGAACAACAAGGCTATACTATACTAATCTGACTTTCCCTAATGTGTCCCAATTTTCTCATCTGTAAATTAGGGTTTATGTCACTAGGCCATTGTGAGGCCTTAAAATTTCACTAAAAATTTTTGGGACACCACGTATTTTTAATGACAATAAAGTATTTTTAAATCATAATATCAAGGTGAAGCGAATGATGCTTATCTATCTAACCTCTATACGAAGGGAAAGGCAAGAGACCAGCTCTTTTCAAAACTGTTATCTCCCCTAGCACTGAGTACACTAAGTACTTATTATTATATGTTTGCTCAATGATTATTAAATAATATCCTATATTAATGGTTACTACTAATAAAAACAGCCATGACGTCTAATGAGAAACTATTTTGCACTCCTATAATGACAGCATAGCCTTTGCTTTGAAGTGGAGGAGGAGCAAAAAGTAATTTTGATTATGATCATAATTGCAGCTGATTCTAAACAAAACTACTCAGTAGCATTATTGCAGAGTACCACTGAACTGCACTGGCCTTCCATATGAAAGCTGTAGTCCTTTAGTTAAAAAAAAAAAAAATTCTCAGATGTAATTTCAAAGATTTATCAAGATAAGCAAACAAATGATCTGAAGACATGACTTGACTCATGCATGTCCTTATCTTTTTTTTTTACAATATGCTAAAAAATGACTACAATTGTATTCCACTCCATTAGTATACTTTCTCCACGAAGAAGCTCTGAATC